GGGGCCGGGGCCGGGGCCGGGGCCGGGACCGGGACCGGGGCCGGGGCCCGGGCCGCGCCGTCACGGCCGCCCCGCCGCAGGTGCCGCAGCCGCAGTACGGGCTCTACGCGTGGCCCGGCGCCGTGGTGCTCGCCCAGTACCTGTGGTTCCACCGCGCCGCGCTGCCCGGCAGGAGGGTCCTGGAGGTAACACGCAGGCCGCTCCAGCTCCTTGCTCGCTTTCATTGTTTCTCCTTTTTTTCCCGTCGTTTAGACCCAAATGAGGCTCTATTAACAGTCCTCCTCCCCCCTCTTTATGTTGCCTAATTGCAGCTGCAGGCCTAGGGAAACCCCTCACACCCAAACACACAGGAATCCCCGTGTGATGAAGTCACCCTCTTCCCCATCACCTCACAGCACATCCAAACACTCCACTGTTTCCAAAGCRGCCCCTTCCCGGCCTACAGTTCAACCCTAGCATGAGTTTTCCCTCATTCCTCCCAGCTTCAACCACATTGTTGAATTTTAATGCACCAATGGGTGCAATACCCMTTTGTTCTGCATAAAATTGCCTTTTTTTGTGTGTGTGATTTCAGCTTGGAGCCGGTGTCAGCCTCCCTGGGTTGGTAGCTGCCAAGTGCGGTGCCGAAGTTACGCTCTCYGACAGCGAAGAGCTACCGCAGTGCTTGGAGAACTGTCGGAGGAGCTGCCTGCTCAACGACCTGCCTCACGTGCCTGTCATCGGCCTCACGTGGGGACGGGTGTCTCCGGAGTTGCTCTCTCTTGCTCCYGTGGACATTATTTTAGGGTCTGACGTCTTTTTTGAACCAAAAGGTACGCTAATTCTCTCGGGTAACTTCAACTTGATAAAAAGAGCAAGGCCTTATTACATTTTCAGCAAGTTCTTATTTAGTAGGATTAGGAACTACATCAAAGATGAGCTGGCAGATTTTCTGGTAGTAAAACTATCTATCATTGAGCTACTTCTTGGAGTAATTCTAGTATTAAGCTATCACCACCACAGGAAAAACAAGTGCATAGGAAATGGGAGTAGGTGACTAATTAAGGCCATATTCTGAGCAACAGGACTCCTACCCAGCTAAAGGCCTATGTAACCATGTCTGGAATGTGGAGACTTATCAAAACTATATTTTMTCTTCCCCAACTATGCAGATTTTGAAGACATTTTAACTACTGTTTACTACTTAATGGAAAAGAATCCACATGCTCAATTCTGGACTACCTATCAGGTCCGAAGGTAAACTCTTTTGCCTACTTAAGTTTTGTTAAAATGACTAACAGCCAAGTTCATTAGCTCCCTTTACTAGCTGCAAGCAGGAGAAAAGCATGGCCCAGCTTGAGTAAGTTCAGTTTCGTCCCCAAAACATGCAGCCATTTCTCAGCTTTACTTGATCATTAAGGACTGCCAACTTTCCATCATCACGGTGATTCCAAAGGACAGATTCTGACTTTGGTTAGTATAAACCAATAAAATACTGGAGATATCAAACAAAATGGTAACTCTACTACTAAGTTTGCTAATAGTGTCTCTTGTTGTTACTGCAACATTTAGTAAYTTATGTTTTTCACCCATCTGCCATTTCTTCCCTTCAGTGCTGACTGGTCTATTGAGGCCCTGCTCTGCAAATGGAAGCTGAAGAACATCCATGTCCCACTACAATCATTTAATGCAGACAAAGAGCACTTGGCTGGCTCCTCTTTACCAGGAAGACATACGATCGAAATGATGATCATCTCACTAGCAAAATCAGATGGTACTTAAGTTTATTCCACTTATTGGTTCCAATACAAGATGATACTGTAGCATGGATCTGCAGGAAACAGTCTGATTTGCAGCAAACCTCATGCATATATCTTGGGAAGCAGTATTTATTTATTTGTTCTTAAAAACATGCAATGTAAAAAATAAAGCTGTTCTGTTCTTAGCTATGGCTTTTGAAAAATTTGTCCTTCCTAAAGACAACTTAATAGTTCAAGACAATTCCAGTATGTAAGCTACTAAACACTTAGCTTAACAGCTTTACAATCCACTGGGTCCCACTTACCCTTTTCTCCACAGTTTAGATGTGGATTTTAACTACATTCATTCAGGATAAAAACCAACCCTTTAAAGTCTGTTTCCCAGGACTTTCCTGAAGATTCCTATTCAAAGGCCAACCCTTTCCCTCACCCTTTTTCAGTGGGGAATCTACATTGACTGCTGCCAGCCATGCAGTCCTGGAACATACAAACTCCTCAACTTGTAGAAAAGTATTTTTAATCCTCAGTCAAATCAGATTTCAAATATTCAGATGTTTCCATTTAACATACATGCATAAAGTTAACAAGGCATTACAATAACCCTTGACAAAGGATGGTTGAAATTACAATTCATTTAGTACCCAACTTAAAAAGCCTCATCACTAGAAGATTAGCTACCATCAAGCAGCAGCCTGTTGAGGCAGGGCAAGCGCACAGCAAATGCAATTAGTACTGCTCAGTGTGCATCTTCCATAACAACACCTAGCAGATCTGCCCCATTTTTTAATCTGCTGTGCAATACTCATCTTACAGTGTTTTGGTTAGTCACAATACTAGTAAGTTCTGCCTTAGTAATTTCAAAGCAACCCCAGTGGATAATATTTAGAAGCAGCAGTATGCATTCAGTTACTCTATAGAAGTTAAACATTGACAGTATAATTGCAGAAATCTTTTCAAGCTAAAAATAAGCTGACTCAAGACATTAAGTTGAGAAAAGTTAACACAGAAAAATGTTTAATATTAAACTACAGAGACAGTGGGTATAGTACAGAATGTCTTAAGCAAAAGATACACCAATCAGTACTTACAAAGGAATGAACCATTTCTTTGTTAACATTACATTTCTCATAYGTAAGTTCGTATATGCATGTTGGTGAGATTTACCATTCTGGAAAAAATAGGGTGTGTATATCATCGGCTAGATGTGCTCACTGTATGCTCCATTATTTTTATGCAAGGCCCGGGTGACTGGAAGTGCAGTTGTCAGGCATTTTAATTAACTGGACAGCCATTTGTTTCTGCACGACAAGGCATCGTTACACTGGAGCAATCAGGAGAAAACAGGAAACAGCCAAGCACTCTGCACTGCAACACGCCACCTTAACAGCTAACCAGCATTACTCAACTGCTACACAACTGCGCCTAGTGCACAAAAATACATAAGAAAAGAGATTAGAATTGAGTTTGATAAAACAATCCTTTCAAAAAAAATAACAATCAACTGTCATCTGAAAAGATTTCTACCAATTTAAGATATTATTTGAATTCTAAGTTAAAAAAAAGCATTTACAGTAAATTTCAAATTGAAGTCTTGCAGAATTTTATTCAAGGAATGAAGACAAAATTGAGAATACTTTTTGACAGTTAGCTACTCAGCATATAATGGCTGCATGTCTCCTCAGTATGAAACTTGAGGCAGCAAGTTACCATCAGTTTAATTTCAAATAAGTCAGCACTATATAAACAAAAACGAAGTTTTACCTCAAATATCCAAGCCAATAATGAAATCGGTAGTCGTTCACTTCACTAAATTACAAGAAATTTGAATAACAGCAACAAAATGGCACATAAAGTGTAAAATCTGCCACTTGAGGCGCAACTTAAACAAGTAAAAAGTTAGACAAAATGTTACAAAATAACCTTTTCATCAGCTGGTTGCTTGTGCCAGGGGTCTCTCCAATGGACTGAAGACTCAAGCGATCTTTTCCCCCCAAAGGCTTCCTTTATGTGGATTCTCTATCTGTTGCATCTAGGTTTGAAGAAAGAAAAGTTCAGCAAAGTTTCTACCATGTCTCTGTTGCTCTGTGGGTGACTTCAGGTATTTTTCTAGGTGTGTTTCAACTGGCTTTGCCCTAATATTGTTGGGCTTTAGGATTTACAGTGTGCTCCACCTCCCCCCCCGAMATGTTGCTTTAATTATGAGGCCAAATGTGAGATTCTGCAAGAGCATTTAGTTACAAGGAAGAATAAACATCAGGCTGTAGCTCAAACCACTATTAACTTGAATTCAGCCTGCTTGTTAATGAACTATAAATGTTATATTAAAGTTATGTAAAACTAGTTCTTCCCAATCAAAAACTTAACTAAACTTTAATTAACTCTTAAAAACAAAGTGTCACGAGTTTTGCTACAATTATCTAACTCCAGAGCTAACTTAGGCCCTTTCCTTTTAAAAWTAGGACCAAACAGTTTGAAGGGTTAAAGACACACTATCCTTTCCCCACCCAGTGTTATCCTCAGAAGCCTCTTCAAGATCTTGACTTGAGGAAAAACTAGTTTCCATCGTTTTCGTGTCACAGTGAATTTGCCACTTTTCTACAACAGTTACCTCCAGTCAGTATAATGGTCACTGAACCGATGTTCCATTATAAAAGGATAGTGCATCTTTAACATTTAAAGACAAACCTGCTCCAACACACGCCCACAGAAACTGGTCCCTGGAGGATCAGCCAAATCAGTTAAAATCTGCAATACTGGCCAATATTCTTTTAGCAAACAGGAGACCGCAGCTTTAAAGGGGAAAATGCAGATGTTGGATAAATACAGTAAGAAATAGTCATTTTCATAATAGGTTGCGTCTCATACATTATTTCATTAAAACCAAGCCATTAATCTCAACAAAACAAGAAAATGTCCTCTGTAGAAAGCCCTTTGGTATTAATTTCCCTAATCAATAACCAAACAACACTGTTCAAAGAAAAAAAAAAAAAGAAAAAAAAAAGACAAAAAGAAAGAAAAAAGAAAAGAATAGCTAATAATGTGCCCCATAAGGATTCACTTGGTTCGGGCTATTAATACTCTACCCAACACCCCACTTAAGTGCTACAATAAGGTAACATGCAAAGTTTGCTGTTCCTAAGGTACATTACCATTTTCCTAAGAGGATACAGCTCCTTCTTCCTCTGGAGACTTAGGAGGGCTCTTTGACCTGGATCTGGAGTTAGATTCCCTCTTTGAGGCAGGTGGAGGGCTTCTGGATCTGGACCGAGATCTCGACCTRGACCGTGATCTGGAGACAGACGAGGACTTTGACTTGGATCTCCGGGCAGATCTGGACTTTGAGGTGGAACGGGACCGAGAGCGTGTGCGAGATCGGGACTTGGACCGACTGTAGCGGGACCGACTGCGGGATCTAGAGCGACTCCTGCTTCTAGATCGGCTGCGACGGCGTCTTCTGGGGCTGAAAGGCAAGAGAGAAGGGAAGAGGCGGGTTAAGAGCTGAAGGCAGGCGGTGCCACAGGCTTCCCCGCACTTCRGGGCGAGGAGGGCGGAACGGGGCCCACGTGGGTGAGCAAATGCATGGCAGGAAGGCGCCATTGTTCAGAGAGAGTGGCCGGGGGCTAAAACCTCCGGGAGAAACAAGCCCTGCAGCTCCAGAGGARCTCCACGTGCTTTTACAACCGAAACTACCGAGAAGTGGTTGCGAGGGGTTAAAAAAACAGGGATTTCCCCCCCCTAATTCGAGGTGGCCCTTAGTGCAGGCCYTGCCCCGGCTCCCCGGCTCCCGCTGGCCGCTCGGCCGGGCTCTCACCTGCGGCTGCGGCGGCCGTAGCCGCTGCTGCTGTAGCGGCGGGGGGGCGGCCCGCGGCGGCTGTGGTGCGAGTCGGGGGGCCGGCCGTAACGGGCCATCTGCACGCGCAGCTCGCGCCCGTCCAGCACGGCGCCGTCCATGGCGTCCATGGCGTCCTCGGCGTCGCGCTTGTCGTGGAAGCGCACGAAGGCGAAGCCGCGGCTCTCCTTGGTGTAGCGGTCGCGCGGGATGTAGACGTCGCCCACGCGGCCGTACTTCTCGAAGACGCGGCGCAGCGTGTCCGGCGAGGTGCGGTACGTCAGGTTGTCCACCTTGAGGGACGTCATGCCCTCCACGTCCGGGGGCGGCCGCCCGTAGCTCATGGCGCCCAAGAGCCCCCGAGGGGCGGCTGCGGCTGAGGAGAAGAGACCCGAGGGGGGAAAAAGGGAGGCGAGTCAGGAGGCGAAGGCGCTGAGAGGCCGCCGAGCGCGGGCCTGGTGGGAGGAAAGTGATGGAGCATAGRGAGGGAGCGGGGAAGGAGAGGGAACGGGCAGGCACCCACCTCCGGGCTCCGGGGGAGAGGCGGCCTGAGGCCGGAGCACAGACGGAGCGGCAGCAAGAGCCGCCCCCGCCCGCAGCCGCGAGGAAATGAGCGGGGCGCCGCCCGCGCGCTCCTTCTTAACGCCACAAAATGGCCGCCCGCGCCCCGGAAGGGAACGGGCCGCCCGGCGGCAGCCCGCGCTGCGGAGCGGGACCCCCGCGCGCGCCGCCGGCGGGTTTTATTCGCTCCGCTTTTTAACCCGAGGGCAGCGGCCGCTGAAGGCGGCCTTAGGGSGAAAGAGGTAAACCGTGGCCTAAGTTAATGGCCACTCTGTTTTTAAAAGTGACGGTTAAAGGTGTTTCGCTGTGACCCGGAAGGACCCGGCGGAGGCGGGGAAAATTTAAATTGTGCTAAAAACGTTAAAAATAAAAAATAGAAACAAGGTGAGGAAGGTGGTGTCAGGAGGCGCGGGGGCAGGCGGGGAGGCTTTGCGGTGGGAGAGGAGGGAGGGAAAGCAGCGGCGAGGAGCTGCGGCGGGGCGGGAAGGTGACGGTTTAAAATGGCGGCCGCTGAGGCGCGGGGCGGCGGCGCGGGGCCGGGGAGGGGTTTGTGGCCGCCGTGGGGCCCGCTCTGCCTCCCGCGGGGCCCGCTCTGCCTCCCGCGGCGCCGCCGTGTGGCCGTCGGCGGGAGAAGGGGCGGCTTGGCGGCCATGAGGTGCGATGGGGCTGCAGGAGAGCGGCCATGGCTGGGGAGGGCACCGAGCCCCCCGCGTCTGTGGACAGCCCGGCCGGGGCGGCTCCTCCGGCACTCTCGGATGTCCTCAGACGCCGAATAAAATTGCCCAAAGTTCATGTATTTAAACCACCATGCCAAGGTCCTACTTATGGCAAGGATCAGTGTTTGCATCTGGTGTTTGAAAAACTCTTTGGTCCCCACGATAAGTTTTTTTTTTTTTTTTTTTAATGCAGTGTCAATACTCATGAGAAAATAATTGAAGGAAAAGGAAGTTCAGTACTAGAATTCAAGTCTGTTCTTTTATTTTATGGTAATATGGCATAATTGCATAAAATAATAAGAAACATCCACTGCTAAAGAAACCAGTTAATATATTTGGTCTTGATTTCTATTTTTTTTTCTCTAGAGTGTTTTAATTGAAAATACTCTCATTCACCYGCTGAAACCTTTTCCCTAAGTGTTTTTTTTTAATCTTTTAGACTAATTCCCCTAAAACAACAGAATTTCCTCTGTCCCTTACTCTTTTCGCGCAACTCTAAATCATTAATTCTGTAGCCTTTGCTGCAGAATTGTTCCTGCACTTGTTTGCCTCCCTGTCAGTCTCAGTGTGAGCACAGGGAATTTCTGGAGCTGTGCTGGGAATTCGGACTGGGAAACTGGTCCAGGGTAAAACCTTGGGATCATTTGCTAGCATGGTTTCAATCTGTACCAGTTACACATGCAGCTAATGTCAGGGCTCGCGTAAGGGGAAAGGCAGCTTTTAGTGGGTACAGTGGTTAGAGGGGAATTTACAATTTGCACTTTTTTCCCCCTTTTTTTTTTTAATGGAGATGCCAGTTTAAGATTACTGTAAAAATAGAATTGTAAATATGTGCTGCTACAGATTCATAATTTAGGAAGAGGAGAGCTTGGCTTGAMTTTAAAAGTAAGGCTTCTATGAGTGATTAGTATAAATCTTATTATTTAAAGGATTAGAGGAGTGCTGCCCTTTACAGTAGAAAAAGAAGTGTATTTTAATAAAACTGCATTTCCCATAGTGCACAAGGGCTCTCTTGCCTTGATCAGCTGATCTATATTGTGAAATTTTCCTTATTTCCTGTCAAACATGAGTGGAATGACTTGTGTGTCTGAGTGTCTYGTTTTTCCTTTGTCATGTGATTTAATGGCTTTTGACCAGGATCCTGGTTCAGAACAATGGCAAAAAAAAAGAACCCTGTGATAATTAACTAGTTCAGTAGATGGAAAACTGCTTCTTTTGGTGAGAAGAGATGACGTGAAGAAATAATATGCTGCAGTCTGCTCTGTTAACTTCATGAGAAAAGGTAGAGAGTATCTTTATCCTTACCTTTTGCACCAAAACTTTATTTTTCTTTATTTTGAGATTTTGCTGTGTATTATTTAAGGTAGTCGTAAGATTTTTTTGATTTGTTGATGATTATATCCTAACAATTAACACGCAACTCCAAGTAATTGACACTTTTAAAGCTTGTACTTCAATTTCTGTTTGTTTGTTTTCACCAGAGTTTAAGAGGAAGCTTTTAAGGAGAAATACTGTTTTTCCAGACTGAGCTGACAGCTTCCCAAGAAAACATAAAAATGTCTCCAGAATCAAAGAAACTTTTCAACATACTTATTTTGGGAGTCTCATTTATGTTTATATTTACTGCTTTCCAAACATGTGGAAATATTGCGGTAAGTGTGAGTTTCAGAACGTGTCACATTTGTATCAATTACTCTTTTTTTCTTGTCTTTTGTCTACTCTAATGCTAATCATCGCTTTACCTGGAATATTTATTTTGCAAGACATGTTGACAGTTCATTTCCTTTCTTTTGCTTCAGTGTTTAACTGTATGTTTAGGCAATTCACTTCAAGATACCATAGTTAGCATGTAACTGTCTGCTTAGAAAGTAGAAAATTATTGACTTTTATCAAATGTTTGTAGATTAAAACAATGTCTGCAGTGACGCCTCCTATATTTAACAACTGAATTAAATTAGACCTTTTATATTTCTGATTTTTCCATAGAAAATATGGAAAATATTTTTGCATATGTGTGTATATATATATATATATGCATATTTGACTAAAATGTAGTTATTAATCATGCCTCTCAGTTTCTCCTAGAGTCTTTCCTGATCTGTCATGTTTTCTGTTTTGGCAAACTAGCCATCCAGGGTGTATAAGAATAACATCTGACAAGCAGCCAGACTTTCACAATTGCTAGAACTGCCAAGTTATCTTCCATCAAAATAAGTTTCCTACTTATAAGCAACACAATAACTACTTATATTGCTTTGCATGATGGAGCAAAACAGTGAATAAAAGCAGATTGCATTCTTACCAGTTAAATCCTGATGCTAACATACTTAGCCCAGATCCTCCAACTTAGATATCGATGTCAATTTGAACATTAATTATATGCCAAAAGGAGAATTAAATGTCTAAATACATCTTGAACACACAGGCTTTCTAGCTTCCCTTTTCCTGCATGCAAGAAGAATCCTTTCTGGAATCATGGGTGTAAATGTCCTTCACTGCATTGCAGAAAGAATTACTTAGAGTTATTAAAAAAAAAAAAAAAAAAAAAAAAAAAGATTTTAATCTTCTTCCCTCCCTTTAAGCAGTGAATTCTCAGCACCTCACTGAATTTGACCTAGTGATCAAGCCGTTATGCTAAATATTGTATCACCTAATCTATTAAAATGAATTTAATTCAAATCTGCCTCCCTATCCCACTAACTAAATGGTCTCGTGATCACTAAAGCTGATTCAAGGGGGAAAGAAAAAGGAACAGGGAGTCGACTGGAAGAGGAAGAGAACGGAAATTTTTAGCAGAAGCTGAGAGATATGCTAAGAGTGTTGTGAAACTCAAGCTTTTCATTCTATTTTTTTCTTTTAGATGAGGCAAATCTGAAATATACATGCATATGTATCTGAGAGGTGATTTGTGAAACAGCTTTTTTTGTAATGTTTTAACATCGCTGTTAAAATCATGATAAAGTAATAGAATGCTATAAATTGTTTCAAACATAACTGTTTCCCTGCGAAATATCTCATTAAGTTCTGTTTTCATAAATAAGCCTTTAGTATCATTCCTCACCTGAAGTGAAGGAATCAGATCTTAGTTTCATGGCTTTATCTGTTGTTGCTCCAGTCATAAACGAGGTGCAGTGAAGCAAAGGGAAAACACAAGGTGATAAACCCACCAGTGCTCTTTATTCTATCTACGTATAGAAGAAAGAGGCCTCTACCTAGGATTATTATTTTGCTTTTGGGAGTCTCAATCCCCTGTCTAGAAATACTTGTTTTTTAATTGAAAGAGTGGGAACATAAGGTGACGGTGCCACCAARCTATGCATCTAAGCTAGGCATTCTAAAGTGGCCAGGTGAATCTAGAATAAACTTTCCTGGAGGATTTCWTATACTGGTAAATGGGTAGACCTGTAACACTCATCTTTACAGCACATATGTGGAGTTGCAGTTATTATTTTGATTATTTTGAGTACTTCTAAGAATCTACTAATGACAAATTCTAACTTAATTGTGACTTTAATGTAAATGTTTTAAAGCTAGAAGATATTCTGTAACGTGTTAATACATGTGGTTTTCTCCTCACAGCAAACAGTTATCACAAATTTAAACAACACAGAGTTCCATGGCAGTGGCTATACAAGGTAATTTATAAAGATCTCATTGCTTTGCTCACTGAAGAGTCAAGCTTGTTACAATTAACAGCTGGTTATTCTCTTAAGAGATGGTAATGTATTGCTTATGTCAAAATTTAATAACATTTTAAAAGTTTTAAGTATGTTTTTGTTTTTTAAACTGTCCAATTTTACAGTGAATTTTTATTTTTTAATTGAATTTCATACTGCTTTGTGTATTGTCTTTGTAGACAGAAAAAGTGCTCTATAATCACATTCTCCCATTTTATCTTAGGAGATGAAAAATGTGGATTTTTTTTTCTCTTTTATGATGTTGTTGTTTAATAAAACTGCTAACTAAGGGCTTGATTATTTGCCCTTTGTGCCTTGGTGTATAATAGGTTGTGTGGGTCAACTTGCAGGAAAGATTGCAACACAAAGGCGGAAGGAGCAGTTGGAAAGACAGGAAGAGAAGCAAGGTTCAAAGCTGTGAAAAAACATAGGCAGCCTCACTTGGAATACTTGTTTTCTGTTTCACSTATGATCAGGGACTTTCTGTATGCCAAACTAATCCATCATTAGAAAAATTTTGGTGCTACAAAGGTTTTACAGTCTTAATTTAGACTGAAAATGCCGCGGACATGACTCAAGATTGCTGTGGTACACTTGTGAAATTAAAACTTCACTAACAGATGAATGAGGGTCTGGAATATTCTCTTAGAAACACTGGGCACAAAATACCATACCTCCTGTTAAGTCTTGACTAAACAAATCCCTTCATAAATTATAAGATGTGGTTGCCTGCAGTAGATTGGGTCTAGATTCAGTGGTCCAAGAAATCCTATGTGCTCTTGTGTTCCTATATCAAGATAAAGTGCAATAGATGAAGGTAATTGATAACAGAAAGGAAGGAAGTGTTTGAATATGGAATGTGTTATGTGGATACTTACTATGCATACATTTAACTTATTACTTTGGCAGTGCTTGTACAGTCTTCTTAAATCAGCTGCACTTGAAGCCTACCTTTTATTTCAAGCAATTAATCATCTTTCTTGTTTATTTATGTAGCATGTCCATTATTTATGGAGTTTTCTCTGCATCAAATCTTATTTCACCGTCAGTAGTTGCGATAGTAGGACCTCAGCTCTCCATGGTGATTAGTGGTGTATTTTATAGGTAAGTGCTAGTTTTGGATCTTTTGTCTGCCTCCTTTAAAATCTCCCTTACTTTTCCATACTTAAGGCTACAATGCTTAACTTGAAATTGTRTCGGGCTTGTTAAGGCATCTTCTTGCACAAATACTCAGGTATCTATCAGTAGGTTTAACTGTAGCTTCAGGATACTCCAGCCTAAAGGAAATGGAGCATTTTTTTTTTCCACAGCATTTCCAGGTTTGGCTAATTGTGGAGTTCAGATTGTGGTCTTAGGTTAATGCCTACGTTAGAAAAATTATTACGTGTTTAGCGGAGTAAAAAGATTACCTTTTTTTGATATATGACTTGAGGTATTTGCRCAGGTCACTCTTATTTCATAAACTGTTCTGTTTTATTCTAGCTTATACATTGCAGTCTTTATCCAGCCTTCTACATGGGCTTTCTACACTGTTTCGGTGTTTATTGGCATTGCAGCTGCTGGTAAGTGTTGTTCTTACCCTACTGACTGCTTCTCTGCGTTTGTATATATAGCTATAAAATATTTTTTTGCTTGAGTATTTTTTTTCCTCTTACAGTACTGTGGACAGCACAGGGAAATTGTTTGACTGTAAATTCTGATGAAAACTCCATAGGAAGGAACAGTGGAATATTTTGGGCGCTCTTACAGTCTAGGTAAGCTTTATTTGTTAAATGCATATGACCAAAGAAAGAGACTTTAATTTTTACACTTTTTACTAAGTGTGGGAGACTGCTTTAAAATGCTGGAACTTCAGTAAAYGAAGAGGGAGAACTGGAAGCAACATTTCTACAATGCAGTATAGAGCAACAAATAAAAATTATGTTGCAGGCCTCTGCTCAGAATACACAAAAAAAAGTGTCTGTTAGTGGAGCATTTGACATCTCATCCCTGACAGAAATCCTGTTGATTGTGGAGGGCTGTTAGTATGTCAAGGTCCCCCAAAGTGCTAATGAGCTGTAATTACCCTGATTGGCCTCACCTGGGGCCTGCACAGCCTGGGCCTTTCAGTTCTTCTAGAAGCGGTTGAGGACTGCTTTTTAGCTGAGCTTCGGCTATGTCTGGGCTTGGCTGCTTTTCTGAATTGCTACAAATTCAGAATGACCATATTTTAGGGAGCTATAGGTTAGCACAGGATTTCCTTTAAGCTACTAATAAACAAATTAGCATTGCTGGGGCAATACTTCAGGTAAAACCAAAGACTGTCTTAAGGAATCATTACAAAGTCATCTCTATARATACAAGTCAGCTCTATGAACTACTCAGTTTCAAAATCCTGTGACAGAGGTGACTTAAACTGATTTTCCTGTTTTTTGCTGCCTCCAAATGTCTTGATTTCCCCCTCGAAATGAATAGCTAGCACTGTGTGAAAGAATATTATAATTAAAATAAATGTGTAGGGTAAGTATGTATAAATGTATAGGTTTGCATAGAGTGTATGAATAACTGTTGTATTTCTTTCACAGTTGCACAACATTATTTTTGTGTGGCATAGTGTTCTTGTGATGTTACAGCTTAAATCTTACAGTAGAAAGTGCTGTTCACCTGTGCTGTCCTTTCTTCTTATTTTCAGCCTGTTTTTTGGAAACCTTTATATATACTTTGCTTGGCAAGGAAAAACTCACATATCAGGTGAGTGTTACTTGTTTGTGAAAGACAATTAATCAATGAAATAAAAAGAAAGAAATATCATCCCAGTTTGCTTCAAGGTTGCACCAGTTATTGGACTGTGTCAAGGCAGCAGTGGGATAGATGTTGAGATATCTGGCAGGACTGAGAGTGCTTTAAACTGATAGAACTTCTGGTAAAGTATATAAGAAACTGTAGCTTCAAGGTGTCCGTTCTTAGCATGGTTTATCAAAACCAACTTCCTCATTAGGAATTAGATTATAATACTGTAATTTTCTATGTTTGACATTGCATTAGACTGCTAAAGGGCAGGAATTAGAGCAGCATGTGCGTATTCATGTTCTTCAGCTGGTTGGTGGTTGAAACTTAYAGGTCTTAACATAGAGATTGTTTGTCAATTGTAAGCTGCTGTAAGCAAGCAAGGCAAGGTGAGTGGGTGGTATCAGCTAAGCAAATGGCTAGCAGTGGTGAAAACAGAGCCAAAATTAAGAATTTAATTACACAACATAAGTATTGCAGAGGAAAAATAGCATTTTGTGAGTTAATGGAGTGGATTATCCTCTTTTAGAATGGTTATGAGGTAGTTTTTTAAAGTCTAAAAAATACAGTATCTACTAAATTGGTCAATGCTTTTAACATTCAAAACAGGAAGATATTTCTGTAACCAGAAATTAAGAATTAAATGGTGACTTTAAAAGATAATTATCCAGCTGCAGAAATATTGCCATGTTGAGATAAATAGCCCATTTTAGAGCCTTTGTTTCAGGTTCTCTGTAGACACAGGCTGGGTAGCACATTGCAGGTTAATTTTTAAAGGTAATTTCCACATTGTTCCTTAACACAAATGCTTAAACACTCACAAGCRCGTAGGTGCTTTGAATCCAGGCCTGAAATTCTTTGCTTTCTRAATCACATTACTGTTCTTAATGAAAGAATACAGCACTTAAGTGAGGGAGTCTCACTGCTTCCTTAGTCTTGTCTTTAAATGGAAAACACTTGACATGTCCTGAGTATTCTCTTAAATAAAAGCTAGATGTTGGTTTTAGAAGATTTAAGGGGATTTAAAAATTAATTCTATCTCCCTTTTCCTACATATGTTGAAAACATAAGAGGYATTGCAAGAAGCAGCACATGCTCTTCCTGGTGTATAACCAAATACAGGTTATTCTAACTGACTTGGATCCATATTCTGTTTCTTCTTAAGCTAGAAGGGGAAAAAATGGAAGTGCATAGGTAATATATTTAGATGTGAACCTAACAAGACTAGATCCTAGTATCACTTGTGATTGAGAAACAGATTGACTATTAGCTGTTTCATAGCATTTTTGTCTCCTAGCATCTGTAAATTGGAATGTCTGCTGTGGGGCAGACTTCTCTGCTGGACAAGAGCAGCAGGGTGGGTGCAYAGGGCAGCAATTAGTGTCCAGATATTCATTGTATGCCTTGTCAGTTAACCACTTCAGTGGACTTAAGGCTTTAGTACTTTACAAGTCTTAGAGTTTATCATGTTATATGCTTATATTTGTGGTATTTAAATATTTAAAGTGAATATAGCAAGGCTTGAAATATGTGCCTTCTGCTGATAAATATTTTCTATGTTTTCTCTGTTAATTGGCTCCTTACTACTCAAAGCCTTTGCATGACAAAAAAATTGGCCCATAGTATTTAATATGTCAGTATTTATTAGCATTATAAAGTGAGATAAAAACTTATCAGCTAGAGAGTACCTTTTCCTGCACTTATGCAGTARGATGGAAAACACAACAGCTTTTAGAGAGGTATTTTAAACACCATTGCAAAGGATACCTGTGTTAGTGCTTTGAAGGTAGTTGACTAAAGTGGCTTTGGCACGTCTAGTGAGGTTTGGTTTTTGTTTTTCCACAGAGAGTGATCGTAGAACCGTTTTCATTGCACTGACCGTTATCAGTCTTGTAGGCACAGTTCTGTTCTTTCTGATTAGAAAACAAGAGGACACAAAAACACCAGAGGAGGAAGATTCTACTAATGAACTCCARGGGGACAGCTCGTAAGTGCTTATAGCAAGAATATATTGCCACATACACAGGGTAATGTGCTCCTGTACATGTAACCCAGAGCTCTTTCCCCTCAGTTGAAAACATGAGGCTTATGAACAACCTGTAGAATTACAGTTTTGATATAAGTGTCTGCATCTTAATAAGTGAGAATTAATCAATTAGGGTTCTTCTGACATTCTCAAGGATGCAGTGTGGTACAGCACTCTTAAGATATTCATTAATGGAAAACCTTGTGAAAGAGCATTTACCTCTCTTTTTCACTGATTATTATTATTTTTCACTGTTTATCTGCCTTTCATAATTTTTTTCTCTTCCTTTCACTACTCTAGTTAAAAGATTCAAATGAATAGAGATTATTCCTTTCCTTTGTATAGTTTTTCTTTCACATGTTGAAGCATGTATATGCATCTTATCACAGTCTTTTTGCAGATTGATGGAGGCCACAATGTTTAAAAAAATTAGAAATGCATAGGTAGGTGCATCAGGTGCAGTCTTGCCTAAGGCATTAGTATAGACATATTTGYTTTATTAATAGAACAGTGAAAATATTAGAGAAACTTGAGCAAATATAAGAGTGAAAAAAATGTCCAGCATTACTCATCAGAAAGACTCTGTTAAGGGGTGAGTATTTGAATAGCATACAAGAGCAAATAAAATATGGTAGTAGTTCAGATTCTCAGAAAGGTATAATAATATGTTAGCATATGTAATGTTGGGCTAGAAAACTTATTAAAAATTTGAAAAATAAATGAATCTGCTTCCATAGAGATTAGTGTGACTATTTTTCTTTTTCTATTTTGAGTGAAGTCATTGTTATTTGTTTATGCAGGTCTTTCCAAAGCAAAATGGCAAGAGCGGTGGCTGCCTTTAGTAAGTACTGTTTCACATTAGAATTGCATAAACCAAACAAAAAGTATCCTTTGCAGCTCGCCATGATTCTGCTGATATGCAGTTATGTAAAAATTGCTTAGAACCAACCTTTGCAGAGAGTTATGGTTTTAAGAACGTATCTCCAAATGTAGACCTTCAGGGCTGGCCTGTTTGGGGGAAAGGACTGTCAAATAGCAATGGTTTCAGGCCAGAGATTACAGTTTTTGTAGGGGCACAACACCAATGACTGGGGAGCCTGATRGAAATTTGCGTGTCTGTATGAGTATTTGTGCTTTTGACTCGTGACAGAAAAGGAGATGGAAGAAAAAGAGTTTCTTAGAACTAGAAAAGCTTGGGAACCACTGAACTAAGGTGTGGGCAAAGTACTTTTGCTGTGCAGTTGGTGTGAGATGTCCAGCTGTGCCTCAGAAGAGCTTCTTTCACATGCAAACAGTGGCTGATTCCAAGTAAAAGAATGGCAAACTTTTTATCTGTTCCATGCTAGAGTTGTAAAGGAGGAGTTTGGAGAGGTGCTGCCTTGATGCAATATCAGATTCCAGTTACAAACAGGGCTTGTTTATATAGATAATGTCGAAGAGAACCATCATCAGTTGGAAAGCCACCACRTGAAAGTGTTTTTCACTTAATAGGCTAAGGGAGATGTTGCATATTGTTTTATTTGGTTGCCAAATGATGTCACTTCAGAACGGCAATTTTGAGCTGTAARTATTTGCAGCTTCCACTGAAGTTTTGATGTGACCTTCCTACAGCTGTTGGTTTGTTTTGGAAACATGAAGGTTTTCTTGACAGTTTATTTGTTCTTTAAAGATACGATCACTGTGAAATAAGAGAGTACAAAAATGCAGTGAGTTTAAATTGTCTAATTAAAGACTGTTTAACTATTGGCTTCCTTCCATTTCTTACCAAAAAAAAAGAAAAAGGAATTAATTTCGCCTAATTTCTTTTAAACTGCATGTTAGGCTCTGACTGTTTAGCACCATATTTTTCCTATAATAAAATAATAGTTTGTATAATCGTAACCCACTTTTAAGCATAAATCAAGAGAAAGTGTAGATTCTTTCATGGTGTTACTGAAGGTTGTATTAATTACCCTTGTTATTTCTTTACAGAGAAATCTATAAAGCTGAGCTTTACCAAAGAGATTCTGCTTCTCAGCGTTACAACTGCCTATACAGGTAAAAAGCAAATAAAATGTATGACCATGTAGCAGCATGAGGGCATTTTAACTGAGAACATCTGACCCTGGATTGCTTTTCTCTATGTCTGTAAATTMTACTTGAATATTTGGATAATCTTTGAGTGGCTTACCAATTTATGATGTTTTTATGTTCTGGAAATCAGTTATGTTTGGAAAAATTAGATGCTGCCCTCTGGTGGATAGTGGTCACGATTGGCACTTTATTTTGGAAAATACAAATCTCCATAAAGTCAAAGAATACGTTTGCTTCCCAACGTTATTCTGATAAACTGCTCAAAATTCATAATTTTTGGAGACTCTGCAGTTTTCATACTTCATTAGGTAGCCTGCTCCTGCTAGAGGATTGCGGAGCACGATATTGTTTGTGGTGGCAGAGAGCAAAGGAGGTGAAATAAAACAGTTTAGAAATTAAGTTGTCTATTTAAGCATAACAGTATTACTTTAGAATATGCTTTGTATTAAGAAAGTTACGTTTATACACTACAAATCTCTTAAAGTCATACAAGCTAGAGTCAAGTCTGTACCCTTTCCTCATAGTAATGGCACTAGAAAGAGCTTTTAAGAAGTTCTTACATAGATAATGAAATAAAACTTAACGTATACTACAATTTTATATATTAAGAAGCTTGCTACTTGTGATCTGGGGATGCAGATCTTCGTCAGAAATGCTGTAGTTTGAAAATCATTTTCTTACACCAGAATGGGCTTCGTTTCCATTAATTATTGTGAAGTGTTATTTTGTATGGCACTTTAATAACTTTTGGGAAAGCATCCAAATGTAACTGCATCAGTAGAGCCAGTACTGAATTTAAGTGCATACATTACGCTAATAATTGTGACATGTAGTATTTTTCTATTTTTTTTATATAAAATGACATAGGAGTGTTTCAGAATTAGATAGCTTAAGTCACTTTCCTTCTGTTACATAAACCTCCGTTAAATATGAATTTTCAAGATACTATAGGGATAAACTATATATATGTTATAACTGTTTCTCAAGTAATATACAGTAGTTCATATATATATTTGTATTTCTTGTCTTCCTTCAAAGGTTTGGAATTAACTTTCTTTACTGGAGTATATGGAACATGCATTGGTGCTGTGAATAGATTTGGCAATGAAGGGAAGAGCCTTATTGGTCTCTCTGGTATTTTTATTGGTGTTGGAGAAGTCTTAGGTGAGTTTAGATTTTCTGATTAATACAGAAAAAAAAAAAAGCTTAAGATGTTGCAGTTATTAAATACAAGCAGTGTTTTGAAGTGTATCTTACTAAAATTAAGAAAATTAAGCATATTTGTCTTTTTTTCTTTTTTTCCCCTGTTGTTGGAAGCTTGAAGGATGCTAAAGTTATTACACTGCTAAATTTCAGTACCTAATACAAAGAATCTCATAAACTGCTTTCAGCATATGTTGCACTTTTAAGTTTCGTTCTTTAGAARTTCTAGTTCTGATCTAAAGGGAAGTAACTAAATTTTCAAATTTCTGTTTTCTTAAATAACAGCTATCTAATCTCTTCCACTCCTACAGGTGGAGGAATCTTTGGTTTAGTGAGCAAGAAGAATCATTTTGGTAGGAACCCCGTTGTGATGCTAGGCATCATTGTGCATTTCATAGCTTTCTATTTAATTTTTTTCAACATACCAAATGATGCTCCTATTGCTCCTATGGAAGGAACAGATTATGTTGCTTATATGATTCCAAGGTATGTAAGGTTTTTCCTTTGTCATTGCAGGGGGAAAAAAAAAGCTGTTTTCTTCTAAAACAGCATTGGGCTCAGTCAGTTTAACTGCAGCCTACAGCCTCAGCCTTACAGTGTTGTCCTGATTTGCAAGACATTTCAGTGCTTATTATCAAAGTCTGCTTTATCTGCCTGGAGCCAGAGCCCCTCTCACACAGCTCGTTGTTAGGAGAGAAATTTAGGGAGCTTCCTCATCTTGTCCTTGCAACCTTCTGTTGGGGTCTATTTTTTGCCAGTTTGTGTGTAAACGCAGTGGTGTCARCTTGTTCAGACATAACTGCTAATTGCTCAAAACTGCTAGTTTAATGTGTTTATAACTGTGCAGATGACTGTTTTCCGAACTGTAGTATTTGCAGCGTGTACAGTTTGCTGTGGTATGAATGGGTCTGTCTTTCTCTGCAGTTTTTATGAACTCACTGTGTGAGTCTCGGCTTTACTTTGTTGCCTTGCGGGCTTCATGGCTGCAAGCACCAGGAGTTCTTTTAGCAGCTGTAATTCCATAAAGAGAGGACTGCAGGTACTGTTAGCAGAAGTCTTAACCTTCTAGGGCTTAAAACTCAATGAAACTCTTCTTCCYGACAGACAAATTTTGATGGTTCTTTTCCATTGAAATTTCAAGTATGATAACTGTCTTCTCTGTTCCCAAACAAGTCAGACAACAAGAGTTCATGGGGCAGAGCATTTGTTCAATCAATAGCTGTGTTAGGCTGTTTGGGAAAAATTATAAATCCAACTCTTCTTTCTTCCGTAGCAAGGAGGTGGCTATTTTGTGCAGCTTTCTGTTGGGCTTGGGAGACAGCTGCTTTAACACACAACTCCTCAGTATTTTGGGATTCCTTTATTCAGAAGATAGCGCTCCTGCCTTTGCCATCTTTAAATTTGTTCAGGTATTTATCTTACACAGCTTCACATTATTAAAATACTGCTTTTTGCTCACGRAAAGTAATTCTCTGGTTTCTGCAAGGGATGCCAGCTTGTTTTTTAATTACTATGTTTCTTAGGAGGAAAAGAAGCTTTTAGGTAGCATTAGCTAAATTCTTCATCTTGGTATAAATGATTCATGAGTGAGAGTTGAATCATGTGTTATTCAGGGAGGGTAGATGTTGATTGTTCTGATTTCAAGTCAAAAGGTAAGTATAGATTTTTTGGGCAGTGTTTACCAAATTTGTATCCTAAAGGAAGGCTTTGATAGAGAAGTCAAAAGGAAAAGAGTTACTTAAATAGTGGTTGAAGACCTTGCAGATTTTGTGCTGTGTCGCAGTGAGTTGCCAATACGTAGACATAAGAATTAAGTTATGATTTATATTTTTTCAAGTGTTATCATAATCCTTAAATATATTTCTGTTAATTGTGGAGCAGAGTTTGAGAGTTGTCTAGTTCAATAGATCACAGCTGCTTGGTTAATGATTTCCATTGATATTTATGCAGTGTTCCATTTTATTTCTTGATGTGTAGTGAGTTGAGATAGCATAAAGAATTTTTATATTCAGTATCTATGTGAGGATTGATGAATATTTTATCTTTAAAAAGGATTGATTGCAAGTAAGCAATGACACGTGTCAGAGCTCCTAACTATTTTSATACAGGATCATTTGTGATGTTGTAAAACTGATAAAAGCTTTTCTACATTTTTGTCTTAAATTCCACTCATGCTTTGGCTGTGTTGTTTCCAGACTGTTTTTTAAATACCAGAAGAATTCTTGCATTTGTGATGTGATAAACACTTCTGAGTGTAGGCGTTCATTTTCGACAGTGAATGTTATTTAAAAACAAGTAAAAAATAAATCTGTTATGTGTAATGTCAAGACACCTGTTAGAATATGAAAAAAAAAGTYTAAGTGGTACATTTGCCAAAGAAACGTACTCTCAAGACATCTATAAATTACATGTATGTMAGTGATAATCCTGTGTGCTAATGCCAGGCTGTATAATTCCAGTGCTCATTTTTTCCCGTTGTTTTTTTTTCTTCCCTCTCAGTCCATCTGTGCTGCAGTCGCATATTTCTACAGCAACTACTTCCTCCTGCAGTGGCAGCTCCTGATCATGGTGGTTGTTGGGTTCTTTGGGACCGTTACCTTCTTTGTGGTGGAGTGGGAAGCAGCAGCCTTCGTTGCCCGGGGCTCTGACTACAGCAGCATTTGATGCCGTGACTAGCCCAGTGCAAGGGAAAATACAGGCACATTTACTGTGAACTGATGTGAGAAGGTGAAAAGATGGAGTTGCTGAGGCTGAGATGAAGGAATCCACTGCTAAATCACTGTCAGTGTAGCTGATGTGATATCTAACTGTGATAACGAACCCTGGAGAAAAATGCCAAAAATGTAAAGGTTTTTTCTTTTTTTCTTCTTTAATCCACTGAGTATGAGGTGCAGGTTCTCAAAAATCAGATATTAGAAATGGGAGGCAATAGTGATCAGTGCGTTGAAGAGCTTTGTTCTGAGACATCCCTTTCTGAATAACTACCTAATATCACTCTGTCTTGCACTACAGAAATTACAGTTTTGTTTCATCTAAATTATTTTATCTGAGTTTTAGGTCTACAGATACTTAAATTCTTGTATGGAATGCGTGATATTTTAAGGTATGTTTTGTTTTGTGTGTCTACTTGACTGGCGATTCATGCTACCGACTTTTTCAACAATTAGATGCACCAGAATATTTCTGTTGAAAATAATGTTGCCTTATTTGGTATTGTTACCCGGTTCCTTGATTTCCAAACRCTTATTTGTTGTTAATCTATTTCATAATTTTAAATTTTATCAGATGCATTTTTTAAAAGAGTTTTCTGTAGTGTGATGTAATAGATTTTTACTGGAATTTAAGTAAATACCCCCCCCCTGTCCTTTTTAAGGACATAATCCTCATATCTGTGGAGCATTGACAGTCGACAAGGATATGTATCTTTTGGAGTAGCATTCACCATTTTTCAAAATTGAGCTGTGTTGGGATGGATGCTTTATCTTTCTTTGTGTAGTACTATATAAAGGACCGTGAGACATGGTTTCCCTCCTGAAAGCACTTATGCTTACAGAGAATTCCGAGTTCACTGAAATTCTCATCTGCTTTTATAGTTTAATGGCAGAGTGATGACAACTTCTGTTAGATTTACTTGTTATTGAAATTATTCTGTGATGGGAACGTTTTCTACAATACCTTCCTATCCTATGAATAAGAATATGATCTGGGAGAATAATCTTGCAGTATTTATCCTACTGCATAGTCCAAAAATACCTGAAAAGGTTGACATAGGTTGTTTTTTCCTGTATGTTTTGGGAAAATGTGCTGTAAGCTTATTCTGACAAATGCAAAAACAAGGCTAATGCCATAGCAACTAAGGCTTTAAATCCAAACTGTTACAGATGATCATAACATAGGCAACAAATGCAGCCCACCTTGGCTTCTATTTATCTGCTTCAATTTTTAGTAGTTGCACTTAACGTTTCTGTCGTGTTGACAAACAAGATGCAACTGAGTGCGGATACAGCACAGTGAGAAAGATTTTTATTTATTTCAAGACRCGCCACGTGGCTGTTAGACAAGTACTGTCTGTCAGCCTCCTTAGGCACACGCAAAATGTTCATGTCTTCTTTTTTCAAAGACAGGTCAGAGARTCAATTCCGAGAACATGCTGGTAGCTGCTGCATGTCACAACTACAYGGATGTAGCAAAGGTTAAACTTGAAGAGGGCCTACGGGATCTCCTGTGGCTTCTGCTGTCAGCTTTGCTCTCGCAGGGCAAGTAAYGCAGCTCTCTTGAGGCAAGTCCCTCTCTGTGCACAATAAAACAGCAGTGGAGCATTGTTTGGAGGCAGATAAAAATGAGTTTTGAATTCACGCCAGGTTTTTGCTGTGAGGCCAGTGTGGGATTAATTGGAAGATGAGAGGGTATCCGAACAGTTGGCAAGTAAAGAAATTAGTGGAGTCGGGAAAGCCTCTCTGTATTCCAGGTGATTAAATAAGTGTGATGGAGAAGGAGAGTGAGTTGGAGAAAGAGGCAAAAGAGCAGAGTTGCTGTAACCATTGTAACTTGCCAGCAAAGTGAAAAAGCAGTGGTTATGGAATTCAGTCGATACATGTGGTTAATGTGACTGGCTGCATTTTAATATCTCTTAAACAGTTTCTGTCTTGTAATTTGAAATATACTATTTTTATGCATTGTATGCTGCAAAAGGTATAGATGACAATATGCTTTCAGTGATTAAATTTCTCTTGTTGGATACTTAGAAGTGCTTTCTGTAAAGTACCAAAAGGGATAAAGAGCTTTTCTTAGGGAATTACTGACTTCAGTCCTCAAAATATCTGTGGGATCTGCTCTCCTCTACATATCAATGAGAGAAGACAGACTGCAAGTCCACAAGGGACAATTTTGACTTGCAGTATGTGGAAGACAAAATGATTCTCAGGTCTTAGGGCAATAAGCAAGTTACAGGTGCATTTAATATAGTRCAGTTGAATTTTAACGAGGCAATGGTTTTCATGAGGTTGCTTTTAAAACTGATCCCTTTTGATGAACTTCTGCGTTGTTCATCTGGGATATGAGAATTATAGAGACTATTTTAATAAAAGCTTTAAAAAAAATCTTCTCCATGTGCTTTCAGCAAGGCTTTTGAACTGACTTTCAGGGGTGCTAATGAAGTAGGGCTTGTGCATGTGCAGCACCTCTGAGTCAGATGTTTTGCTTTTATTTTCTTTTTTTTTCTCCTTCTCCCCTCTCTGTTCTGCTTGGTCTGACTCAGTATCAGACAGTGAAAAAGGCCGTTCATAACTATTTATTGGGTCATTAAAGAGAAATGTTCCTGCTTTGTGACAGGTTTTACAAGAAATTCACATTTTCTTCAAATGTGCATCATGGATGGCCATTTTTWAAAAACTATTAACTGTATGACTATTATTTCTAACATTGGATCTTTAGAAACATAGAAAATCTCAATTATTCAAGCATTCTATGACATGTGATTACTTTTAGCTTGGTCGTATTTGGTACATAAGGAGATGAAAAATGGATCCAGCTGCAGACAGCAGCCCCAGCTGTCAGTTTTGGTGCAGCAGTGTAGACTGATAACAGTGACATCCGTTTATGATTCTATCTCAACATCTTTTTATCAGCATATACAGCCCCAGTGACTGCACCATTCATCTCATCTCCCTTGGCATTTCACCCATTTCACATTAATCTGAGCTAGAAGCTCAGAAATCTTTTTTTTTTTAGTTTTCATTTCAGTGGGATTTGAAAAAAAACTTTTGCTCTATATGTTGTATTGTGGTTTTGGTTTACGTTGGGAGTTTAACTTTATCAGCAAACTTGTACATTATGGTGCTTTGTTTAATTAAAGGAAAGCTGTCTTTCATTTGTTTTTGCTCCCTTATCCTTTTATGTTGTCAGTAAGGTTTCCTATCCTGATATATCACATCCCCAGGTTTTTCACACAAGTACTGAAGAGGAAATGAAAACAGATATTCCTGACATTTAAGTGCAAAGGAAGCTGTTAAAAATTAGTCTTTCATACGTGTCGTAAGCATATGATCTTATATGCACCCAGCTTGGCAGGTGGTTTTCTTTCTGAGATAACATCAAAATGTATGCAAAGAGAAAATTTCAGAATTTCTCTTAACTTGGTCATAATGCAGTGATAGACTTTTTTTTTATTTTTTTTTTAAATACTGTGTAGGTTAGAAGGCTGAGATAAAGAGCAGAACTACTTAGAAAATACTGCTCATCTTRTAAATTATTTTTCCTCTACTGGAATTCTTGTGGCTTCACTCAAGCTAATTGTRCATGAGAACTAGTTAATACCATGTTTTTCATGTCCTGCATTAGGCTTTCTAACATGCTGGCAGAAACACACACATTTAAAAAAAAAAAAAAGAATTTAAAGGTGAAGATGAGTCAAGACGTTACCCACTTAATAAGATACTTGACATTCTGCTGTGACCACGTTGGAGAGAAGCAGCGCTGAGACTCTTGGCTGTTGTGGTTTCCATGGATAAATTGAGAAGGATGTTTGATTAGCTTAACTCCAGATCTGGTGTTAGTGCCACAGAGAAAGCGTTAATGAGCAGAGAGTGGAAGAAACGGCCTGGGAGAGCAATACAAGCAATTTGGAACTGGGCAGACAGCTTCGCTGCAGGCAAGTGAAGGGAGAGCTAAGCTCAGCTGTTCAGCTGAGTTTAAGCATTAGTTGGTGCTGGCATTGACTCAGTTACTATTTGTTTCATATTTTCTCTGCTGTGTTCATTATTATTTCAGCCGTTGACAAGTCCTCTCCCAAGCTATCTCTTCTCTTTTATTTACAACTTGATATTGTGCAAAGTCCAGTTTAAACTGGTTTAAACCTCTTTTTTTTAATGCTAATAAAAGGTATATTTGGGTTAGAACTGGGGTACATTAATTGTAAACCTCTTCCCAAAATTATTATCCTAAAATGAAAACGTTGATTTGGAGTGAATGTACAGAGTGAAAACATTTCTCTACTCTCTTTCTTTCTATTGTCACAGCCATGCAAATAAAAGTGAATCACAGCCAGTGTCTTTGCTAATACGCTTGTTAAGTTGTCAAATTGCTCTTGTCACTGTTCTAAACTGTGTCCTCGTGCCAGGGGCTTTGCAGAAAGGAGACAAATAGTCTTGGCTGGTGGATCTTCTAAGTGCTTTGTTTTGTGTCACCTCTAAGCACCTGCTTAGGAAAAGGAGTGTTTTTTTTTTTGTTTTTTTGTTTTTTTTTTTTGGCACTAAACAGCCCTTTTGAGCCGTTTAATTCTACTCATGGCCTAGACCAGTGAGATGCCTTAAGGACATGGGTGGTCACTTTTAGTCTTGTCCCTTCCTGTGCTCCACTGGAGAGTTCATCTTATGAAAACTGGCCCTGCTGTAAAGACTCCAACCCTTTTTCACTGTGCTGCTTCTAACCTTTTTCTAGTGTGTTGTCCATCTTCTAGGTTCCTGACAAGTTCACATGTTTTCTTCCCTATTAACTTCATGTGCTGCATGTCTGGTCCCTTGTAAAATTGATTGCACTTACATGTGATAGATTGTTACTTTGGATTCTGTTTATCTCACATGTGAGTGAGGAGGGCTGCTGTTCAATCAGAAACTAGGCAAGTAAAATACATGAGTAAAACACAAGTCGTATTTTGCTGTTGTAGCTGGAGGACCTGCAGGGAGCAGAGGAKTTGATGAGAGAGGACTGCAGAGATGAACGTACCAAAGGAAGGTGGGACGTGCTCCATGCCAGGAGGGCAGCTCAAGGAACTCGGCCTGCTGCGTTTTCCGTGAAGATCCTGTAATCTGCAGGATCTTTTGAAATATGCTCTAGTTCCACTAGTGTGAAGATGGGACAGCCTTAGTATTCTGGTTTCCAAGGTATAGAATCTATACTCAATAGCTGATTTTAAAATCTTTTATACAAGGGGATATGAAAGAACTTCCTAGGTTGGTTTTCTCTACACAAAACCCTTTGAGTCTTGGGATAAAAGGACATTTTGGCGTTTGCATTTCAAAGTTATGTCATGAAGGGAAGAAAATGGAAAGGAGGTGTGTGCCTCAAATGTAAAATCATTCATTCTGCCTATTAAAGGGAAACTGCTGTTTGTTAAGGTCACTTGCAGAAATTAGCTTCAGTTAAGCACCCTGACTAAAAGCAACGGCTGCTGCCTCTTGCCAGAGCCACTCATCTTGTGCTAATGTTTGACCTGCAGAGTTTGTTGCGATTATTAATCTTTGTAGAAGCACAATTACACAGATAATAACCTGGTTAAAAGAGCCATGCTATCATACGTTGCTATTTGGTTCATGCTAGCAGAGGTTTAAGGCTGATAGAGTCTTTCTTTAAGTGCTGAGTGATTGTCCYGGTGAAACTAAATGCATATTTCCTCTGCAGCAGTGCAAGCAGGACTCTGTAACACAGATCACTCAAGCAGCCCACTTGAATCTGAATTAGTGGGACCTACCCATTTTCTGGAAGGCTGCTAATTTACTGATTTTACTCCTGATAAAAAGGTACGATTTTTAAGAGCAAATCTAATAGTTGGACCTGTGTTCTGCTGTCAATATTTTGCTTTTCTCCTAAGCGTTGCCACTTCAGCACTTAAGAGCTCATTTCTTAGAAGTGGTCAGAACGATTACTTTGCAATCGCTCGCAGGGAGATTGCTTGGATGAAGCATGTGGAGATGTGGTTGTTAAAGAGGCAGAGCTCAAGCCTAGGCTTTTCTCTGGGTTTTGGCCAGGAAAGTGGAGATAGATAGATGAAGAAACATGCGTTTTATTTCTATAGAAAGCCAAGCTCCATATAAGGAGGGTACTACTCATTTGCTAAAGCTTTAGGAATGTGGTGAATGTTACTTTTATCACTCCTTTAAAAACCCTGAGGAAGCCAAAGGGCTGTGTGCTATCTTATAGAATATCTATATCTGATCTGCATGAACACAGTCTTAGCCCACCTTGACACTGGGTAGGGAAAAAAAGATCTATCTGCTGGTACTGCCATTAGGTTGTTTTCTCCTGGGTGTTGTTCAGGGTGTTGGTGACCCAGCCTCGCAGCTGGGTTGACCTAGGTGCCATTGGAGGCAGTGGAGTGAGTACAGTGGAACCAGTGATGCTTTTTGCTGGCTGCTCAGGTTGCTGGGCTGCTAGGTGCCAACACGGCTGCGATGACCACTTAGGAGCTGCCAGTCCTAAAGAAAATACTGCAGGAGTGAGACCAGAATAAGAGGGAAGCATTCCAGCATTCACATTTACATGCCATCCTTCCCTCCTTTCAGCATGAAACAGAGCAGCAATCACAGGTTGATCTCAATGATATTTGTGGATAATTATAGTAATTATGCTTCATAAGAGCCTAATCCTGCAGGCTCTCCGGTGTGGCAGCGGGATGGGAAGAGGTGCCCGGCGCAGACGGTGGCAGAGGACAGAGCTCGGTGTCTCTGCGGGTGCTCGTCCGAGTCGTCACGGAGCGCTGCTGTTGGGCTTCATGCTGGTATTTGATACAGCCCCAAAAAGGCCTGGGAGGGAAGGCCAGGGCAGCGTGTGCATGTGGAAATAATCAGATTTAGGCTTACCAGCTAATAAAATTATTCTTTGACATTCTGCAGCAAACAAATAAAGCAGCAGTGCCAGGGAGCAGGAGGAGAGGATGAGCTGCTGTAGCACTGGAAGCCTCCTGTTTGGAAGCTTGTGGCACTGTATGCAGTGAAGGTGCCTGCTGGGTTTGGCTGCAAAGAGGCCACCGTGGCTGCCACCAAGGTGTTCAGAGAGGCTTTTCTCCCCACTGCCAGCAGGAGGCCATGTACCCATTGCCATGACTCCAGCCTTCCTGCTGACWTACTGCCTTGATCTTGCACCCCATGAGCTTGTCTGTGGATTGCTGGGCACTGCATGACTCAGGCTGCCATGGACGACCTGTCCTGCTGCTTGTTTGGCTGCTGGGGACCTGCCCCTGTGTCACTGCGGGCACCGCTCGCCTTGCGGAGCCTCCACGGTGGCGGTGCACCCCGGTGCTCGGTAGCTCAACCACAGCCTTGTAACCACGTGCACTTGCTAAACCGCTCAGTGTTTGCCACGGGGCAACTCCGGCCCAATAGACACGTTCCCGTGGCTCCCACAAAGCTTTGGATAACCACACCTTGTTTCTTAGCCAGCAGGAGCAAATTTCCGCCAGGAGACTGAGGTTTTACTTGATTTTCATGACCAGGCTGGGGAAGGGGTTCCTGGGATGCTGCTTGTGCTTAGGCAATTTTACACACCCCAGTGTGAATTCTTGAAAAAAGAAACCCTGTCTGATTCTGTTTTCCAGGTGTAGTTTGCCTCCCCTGCTTGTCTGGAGGCACTGCAGGATGAAAGGAAAAGATTTGGATTCATGAGGGAGCAGAGCCTTGGCTACACCGGTGGAGCATGGTCATTAACAAGTGAGGAGAAGCAGAGAGGCACCACAGCAAGGGCATGATGAGCAAGAGAACAGAAGCAAAACACAGGGATTGTTGGAGGTTTCTTTTATATTAATGCAATAGTGAGTTATGAAATGATGCATTACACGGAGTAGCACTGATGCGAGATGAGCAGAGCTCCTTGTCCAGGGAGACCAGCCCATCTTTCAGCAAGGACAGTCACACTTGTACCCAGTGCAGGAAGAGTCCTGTGTCTGTGCATTGGCTTTTGAGCAGTGCATGGTGACATACATTGTTTTTATTCTTTGCACGTGTGTGCATGTGTCACTTTATTTTGGAGTGAAGGGTAATGCCGTGCTACTTAAAAATCTTTTTGTATGTTGACAAAGTCTTGCAGCATTAGGGCATTTGGCTAAGCAGAAAAAAACTTGGGAGTTCCCTGGTAGATTATGAGTGACTGAAAGTACAGCGTGGTGGTCAGGAACGTGGCATTCTCCCATGTTTAGTGAGGACGCTTCTGTTCTTGGGTCATTAACTGAAACTCCAAAATTAACTTGTTTTTTTCTCTAGTTGATTAAGAGACTTAAAATATCAATAGTACTTAGATGTAGAGACCGCTCAGTGTTTTCTAGTGCAAAGTACTGCAGTGCAAGGCTTCATTTGCATCTCCTGTGCTAACAAATTCCTCCCCCCACAAACTTCAACAGAGGATAAATACCACAAAACAGGACAACTTTGAGACAAGGTGAAATGATTTGCCCAGCGCTTCTGATGTTACTGCTGGCGGAGCTGGGCTTAGCATTCATGTTGCTCGCAGCTAATCCAGTGTGTACACCTTCAGGCAGCCAAGCTATCCTGGGAGGCTGCTGCCTCCATAAATAGCTTTTACCCTGGGCTGCAAATGCTTTTCTAGAATTCAAACAAGCCACTTAGTCTGAGTCTGAGGGTCACCCGTGGCTGGTGTTGTGCCTTTATGGKAGGGGTGCTGGTGAGCGAGGCCTCGGGGCACTCGTTTTGCACATCCCCTCTGAGCTCCGCAGTAGCAGGCACCACGGCGGCTGCTTCGCCGTCACCCTGGGCCCTGCAGGGCTTAGCGAGGATGGAAAGGACGTGTGTTTGGAGCRGGCAGAAATGCACCATGTCTGTCTCGCAACTCTACGCTAAACACCTTGCAAATCTGCTTCCGAGTGTCGCAAAGCCAGATTTGGGGGCTGGTGCCTTGGCACGGGCTCTCTTGATGCTCTGCCTGTRCATAAGTAGCGTGGTTGCTGTCGGTTGTTTCACTCTGCAGAAGCCTTGGTCCGAGCTGGTCGCTGAGGACGAAGGAGGCAGAATCCCACCAAAGAGCAGCCTGGAAACAAGAGAACTCTAAAGTCTCCAGTCTCCGAACGAAGGCTGAGCCCTCGCAGCGCCGCAGAGGGAGCTGTGCTGCCGCGGCCGCCCCGCTGCTCTGCACCAAGCCCCTGCCAAGGTGCCCTTCCCCACAGCTGCCTCTCAGTTCATCCAGCTCAGGTCAGCTCCTCAGGAGGTTACCAGCCAGCAGGGTCTCAAAATGCATCTTTAATCAAAATGAAAAAAAAAGGCAGTGTTGGGGTAGGAGTGGATGTAATTTCATTTCTTTCCTCCCCTGTTTCCCTCCTTTGTCTGTAGCAGCTTCTTCCGCCAAGCCGTGGGCTTGGCTGGGAGGTGAGGAGCGCTAAGGGGTGCGTAATTTTAATTGGGCGCTGTATGTGCAGCCCTTCAAGTGTGTAAAACCCTGATAGACCAAGTTGTTGTAGTTAGTGAGCACAGAAAGAGCAGAAGGGCTCTCAGGCCTGATGGTGGGGCACTGTAATCAAATTTTGAGCTAGCAGAAATCAGTGATGAGTTTCAGGGGGGGACAGGTAGTGTCGTGTGTTTGCAGAGGGTGTCCAACACCCTCCTGGAGCAGCTGGAACACGATGTTCTTGGACACAGGCGATGGGATGACGCTCCTAAACCTGAGCCCTCCTAGTGCTGTCCCTGTGTTCACCTGTTGTGCCAGTGATTGAAATGGCCCTAATTAAAGAAAGAGCTTGGGCGCTGCTTGGCAGAGGTGGAAAATGGCTCGTGTTTGTATCTCTACTTTTGGTGTATTCAAGGTGCCTCTGGTTATCCATCCCCTTTGCAAAGTTCCTCTAGATGACTGTGTAGAAATGAGCAGGGGTGCTGTGGAAGGAGAGGGAGCCTTTTCCATCTGGCTACAGCTGGCGATACCCTCACAAATGTGGCAGCATCCATCCCCAAGCATCACTGTTCCTGAAAAGGACCTGTTGCCACAGTGCAGTAGCAGCCCGCAGGGGAGCTAGCTGTCTCCTGCAAGGGCTCGTGTGTGTAGCAGCATTTGCTAGTGGGGTTTATTGCTCTGTTGGGCACGTCCAGCTGCTGACCTGCATTAGACTCCCCCGTTATCTAGTGGAGAGAGACAATTCCAGTCTCTGTAATTAATGAGTCTCTCCTGCCAGGGTCTTGGGTGAAGCATCAGCACAGGAAATTGGCCAGGCTAAGTGTTGTCTGCGCCTGCATCCCCGCTCTAAAGGTAGGACTTAGTCAGCAGAGATGAATTGCGGCTCGGCTGCCGAATTCATTTTTCATTCTCAGATCTGCGGCAGGCACTAGAGCACCCTTCTGTGCGGCCTGAGCTGCCCATTTTCGGTGGCCTCCCTCTGCCCAGGGCCTCGTTTGCTGCCAGGATCCCCTGTGCCACTGTGGAAAGCAGAATAAGGCTCGTTGATCCGTGTCCGTGGGGTAGCTTATGCTTTAGGCTTGTAATGACATTCACGAGCCAGGCAATCCAACACCTTTCCCCGCTCCCCCATCCTCCCTCGGGAAGGAAAGGTAACAAGACCAGTGATTAATTCTTGGAGAGCAAACGGGCTGTTCACAGGCAACACGACAGCTCTGATTTGACCTGGGCTCTCGCTAATGCGAATGGATCGTGCTGGACACGGGCTCTGAGCTGCCATCAGGCTCCCAGGCATTCCAAGCTGCCTGGCGCAGTGACAGTGTTTAAGAGCAGAGCCAATTTATTTAGCTTGTAGTGAAGCGTAAGATT